GTACTGCCAAACATGCTTGCACAAAATCGAGCATGGACTTGAATCCACAACTGCCGCTTACCATGCAGATGTGTAGCCAGTTATGCTACCTGGACCTCCATCCAATCCCTCCCTTCCAGAAATATTTAATTTGGATATAAATATCCTTGTTACTTACAGCAACAACTGAAGATGACTTCAGTGTCCATGGCCTATAATCATCCACTATGGCAGTCAGCTGGCCATTACTTCATCTCAGTTTGGTGAAGAAATGGCTGGTTTCCCAGTTTAAATCCAGTAATCATTTGGTTTCATTATAAAATATCAGGCTTCGAGATGTTTATATATGTATATATAATCATACCGTGGTGAAGTGATGACTAACCAAGTTCCATAGTAGGTAATTATAAATAATTACAGTGAGGGTTTTTATGCTAACAGAATATCAGCTTAACCCTACATATTTACAAAAACGAATGGTACTGATGGGCACTCCTCGTCAAAGGTGAAATGTTAATTTCAATGATAGTTACCTAAAAGAAAAATGTGAATGACAGTCTTGTCTTCAGGATGACTAAACTGGATATAGATATTAGTGTTGTAACGAATAGTATATTCGGCCTCAGGCCGAATACCGAATAGTAACCGAATATTCGTTGCACTATTAATATTTATACTTTCTGCAAAACAACCTTCTACTAGTATTACTATAATTGGAGGTGGCTCCTTTGGTTACAAAGATTGGTATATTTCTCAGCATGATGAAACTCCTGCATATTATAGCCACATATGGTGTAACACTTCACTCAAACATTCTTTGAATGATAGATTGGCTATGGTAGTCCTCATTCCTTGGCAACCCAGGTCTCTAAACTTAACTTTTAGAGTTTAGTTTTTGGAGTGGATGAAAAGGAAAATACACATAATCACAAACTGCTTGCTGGCATTATGAATAATGTTGTGTAATATCAAAGAACACCATAACAACCTCAAAAGAACAACACTCACTATTACAAGTTGCAAAGTGTATTGAGGTTGCTGGTGGCATTTTCAAACCATGCCTGCAAACTGTACATTCTTTATAAATTATTGAATGTCAATGAGTTATATTTTGTGTTATTCATATAGTTAATAAATAAAAATAGTAAGTCATTTCTAATATTTTAATACCTGCCCTAATGTCAGTGCCAGTTTTAAGCTACTGTATCTCCACATGTATTCTGAATTTGAAACATATTTATATGAACTTTTTTTTTACTTAGAATGATCAATACAACAACCATTCAACTTGTTTACTATTTCTCTTGACACTTCATACATTTTAGTATTTTCAATATATCTTTGAAACATGTAATTCTTTCATTGGAGAAGCAACTCTGAATACAAGTTTTAGGTGTTTGTTTTCAACCTTTCTTTTTTCCTGCATTAATTAGAACAATTTTCTACAAAATGGAAACTTACCAAAACAGAAAATTCTGGTCAGTGCCATTTTAGACAGGTTTATTTAAGAAGTGAACATAAAATTTAAATAGTTCTGTTGTATTCATTTTTT